ACAAGTCTTTCCCGATTTTTGAAAGACTGCATTGAAAATGAGTGGGCATGCTGAATGGCCTGAAAGAAAACAGAAGTGTTAGAGAATATTCAAAGTATAAAAGAGGACGATTAGCAAATAGAAGACATCTACCTGAACGGAGTGTTGTAGTATCAGGGCGTAATTCTCATACTCGCTAAAGCCAACATTTCGTTCCAAGTCCCCTGGCAGAAGTAGAGCTGTACTGAGTGCTACGCCGACGTTGATATCATCGGCACTGTCAAAGGACAGGACTGGCTTGTCCTCCAGAGTAATTTTTGGAGTCCAAGGGGCATCGCTCTGTTTGGACCTTGAAGTCGTCGCAGAAGAAGACCTCGGCCTTTTGGATTTTGGGGATTCTGATGGCTGAGTTTCAGAGCGCCTCTTCCCAGCAGAGGGTTGAGGTTTGTCGCTCTCAGCCAACTTTGATATAGGCAAAGCATCCTCAGACTCAGTCTGAGTAACTTTAGCCTTTGGTTGGGCCTTTTTTATTTTCTTTGGCTTCGATGGAGGAAGGGTTTGGGTTGGCTGCTCATTAACAGATGATGGAATGCTGGCCAGAAGATCTTTTGCGACAGGCTTAGGACGACCCATCTTGGCAGTTAGGACAAGTCGTTGCCGACGTTTTCGTTCTGCAATTGGAACCAAGTATGGAGCTGAAGAAGATGGCTGATCTGCTGGATCAGATGTTGACCCCTGATCTGTCTGAGATGTGGATGCAGTCTGTGGGGTGGTGGCAGAAGGTGGAGATAAGCTCTTCTTCTTCTTTTTTCTGGGGACGTCGAGGAGAGCTGATTTGTATGTTGGGATGAAGTTGAGAAGCAGGGGGGCCTTTCGCTTCTGAACTGGCAGGTCCAGTAATTTCTTTAAATCCTTGCTGGGAACAAAGGATTGGCGAAAGTTTTTTGGCGGCTGAGGCATAACTGCAAAAATAAAGGCAAAGCAGACATTAGGAAACAGATAAAATATAGAAGACTTTAAAAGTAAAGCAAGTATGAATGCAGGGCTCTTACCATTACCCTCTATAAAGACTGATCGTGGAAGAGGGAAGATGTGGAGGTCTTCATCTGGGGCAAACTCCCAGTTCCCCGAGATAATGAAATAATCATCTCCAGCCCCTTTGTTGGAACCTGGGAGGTCGGCTACAATTTTGAATTATGTGGACCTCGGCTTAAGGTAATAAATGTAGCCTTTTTCTTTCAAGTTAAGGCCACACATGGTATAGCAATATTGGATGTCGGCAAGGGGGATCCTAGCGTTTTCCCGTTTAGCTAGGGCTATAATACCAAAGATCACTCGATAGGAATTGATTGCCAATTGCATGGGGTTTAACTTATAGTAATGGAGAACCTCACGAAAGAGAATGTTTAATGGAGCCGAGGTCCACACTTTATAAAGGCGACTACAGGGAAGGCATGGAGTTTTCGGTAGGCATGATGGAGTCATCATCCCCAGCCAACCTCAGATTGACATCGGCTGGGATTTCAAACTCCTGTCTAAAGTATTCTAGTTTAGAGGGGGTGTTTACCCTATGTTCCTACATACCTATGATATCGACTTAATCTTAGAAGGTGGGTCTCAGAAGAAGTTTTTGAAAGGTTATTGGGACCTCGGCAAAAACCTAGGTTTGGGCTGGTACAGAAATTTGTAAGGAATATTTCAGTTTTGCCCTAAATCATGGGTTCTACAAACAAATCTCAAACCTAAAGCTATGAAGATGAAGATCAAAGGCACAGATCTAGAAAAGATGCAAAAAAACAGAAAACAAAAATGAAGTTTCAGAAACAAGAATTGGGATGGGCTATTAAGAACATGACGAATACAAAAGTATATGGCCAAGAACAGTGACAAAAGTACAAAGAAGTGATGAAACAGTGCGTGTGTTCAAAATGTGGGCAAAGGCAAAATCATGGATAAATACGTTCAGATGTACGATTTATAAATTAAAAAAGCTTGAAACAGTACAGTAATGGCGACAACAAAAGAAGAAGAAACATCAAGGAACTAAAAACGAAAGGAACAGTAGTTTACCAGAAAAAGGGAAGCCGGAAAGGGATTAGCCGATGTCCTACGACGATTTTAGGAGCAAAAGACCGGTGGAAATCTTGCCGGTAGGGGTGAACGGAGGAGGTTGCAGAGCTTTGGAAGCTTGAGCAATGGAAGATTTCGAAAGCTAGAGAGAGAGAGTAGGGGATTCGAATGAAAAAGTAAAGAGACGGAAAAAAGGGAAAAAAGTTTTTGATTAAACAGAAACGGCGGCAAAAGCAATCAATACGCCTAGAAGAACGAGGGCGTCAGACGGCGCACATGAGAAAAGAAGTGGCTAACAAGCGCGTCACATGTACGAACCAATAAGTGGGAAACATATGTCTAAAACGGTTGGGTTGAAGTGCATGATAGCTCATGCGTGTGAGAAGTTCCTTAAAAATTTTGATTTTTTAGGGAAAGCATGTCGGCCAGAAATGAATGATCTCGGCTATCAAATTTTAAGCCGATTTACTGGAAGAAAATACAGATATAGGTTCCATCACCTCAGAATGCCGAGGTAATAGAACCTAGGGGGCAGTTGTGGGGATATATTTTCTAAGTACCAACACGTGGCAAGGTGACGCCAACGTGTCAGCCGAGGTGCCACGTGTCCTGGTCGCAACGCCGAGGTGATCTCGGCAAGACCGAGATTATCTCCGAAGATATCGGAATCCGAGATTAATGAACAAAAGATAAGGGACAAGAGTCCTAGAGTAAAATGGAGACTTAGCCAAGATAAGGATAAAATTCTTAGGGAGTTTATCTTTATCTCCTAAAGAGTCCAAAGTAAGTACTGAACAGGAGTCTATAGAAGTTAGGCTTCTAGTGGGACTAGGTTTATGGTGGTTATAAAAAAGAGGCACCCCCGTAGGTCTAAGGTGCGCAGTTTTATGCTCTGAATAGTAAGTTTTACACTTGATTATCTTTGAGAGATTTACTGACTTGATCGTCGGAGTGCCCCCGGGTGGAAGAGCCACCGCGGGAGCCTTTTCTTTCTGTTACAGGTTAGCTGAAACCATCTATTCTGCCGATGCTCTCCAGCTGATTACTAGGCGGGCAGTGTGGTCAGAAAATCACCCACACAGAGTTGTATTTTGAGTTTTAAGTTTTTGAATCATGATTTGAAAAGAGAAAATTATTTGATTATGAGTTTTGAAAATAATTTTGGAACGATTTGCAATTTTATTTTTATTGATTGATGTATAGAATGTGAAAATAGAGATGAGAGATGAGAAAGAAAAAGTTATGGATTGATTGATTAATAAAATAATAAAAAAAAAGAGAAGAAAGGAGTTTTGAAAGTAATTTTGAGTTGTATTTTAAAAATATATTTGGTTAACATGATTTACTCAAATCAAGATTTAAAAACAAATTTGAGTTTTGAAAAATAAACCAAACACTGCCTTTACTGGTTTTTTTTTTCTTCAAATTGCCACCACTGTTACCACAACATTGCCTCCATATAACCAATATTGCCACCTTTGTCCTAATATTTCTAGTATTATGTTGCCCTTATTATCACGACGACTGCACCATTATTACTCTATTATAATCACTATCGTCATTACTGTCACCATCGCATAACACTAGGATTGGGCAAAGGGTTATCTGAACTGTGTAATTTGCCTAACTCGAGCCGATCTGCATACAAATAGGTGATTTTGCAAACACAATGCGGATGGATGCGGTTTGGAATATGGAATTATTGCGGATTGCGGGTTTTACGTGCACCAGCAAGAATCTGCCTGCACTTAGACATTTTAAAAAAAAAAAAAAAAACCTAAATTGTTGATTTCATTATTTCTATTTTAGATGGAGTTTGCGAGTTTGCAAATGTTTTTATTTTATTTAATGTGTTTGAATTAGATAAAATTTGACAACAATTTATTGTTATTTTATTATTGCATTTTGGATGAATGTAAAAGTTAATGAAGAACAGCTTTTAGGTAAGTTTAGGATTTTGAATGATTTTATTTTAAGTATATTGTCGCGTAGTGAATAATTTTGATGATTTAGTTTAGCATTTTGAAAGATGTGCTTATGTTAGTTTATGATTTTATTTAAAGGTTTAAGATTTTGAATGATTTGCTTGTGTTAGGAATTGATTTTGTTGTATTTTTAATTTTATAAGTTGTAATTAATTAATTATTAATGTTGAGTATTTTAGAAAATGGGGGAAAAATGACTCAAAATAAATATTTACAAAACAGAAAAAATGTTTAAAAATAAATTTTTAAAGAAAAAAGTCCATTCCGCAAACTGACCGTATATCGGCGAGCCCTATCCATACAAACCGCAACCCGCATTGCGAGTGGTTGCGGATTCAATTTTTCCCAAACCACACATATGCAGATAGGTTCAAATCACAAATAAAACCGTTTAAAACCGAACCGCGAACACCCTTATATAACACTATCATTGCCGTAATCATTTCACTATCATAACCATTATAAATACAGAGGAGTGTTTTGGAAAAGGACAAAAAAAAAAAAGAAGTTAAAAATCAACACTTTATTAATTTTGAGTCAAACATCGTAGAAATATTAAAGACTATTTTAAAAAGATTATTATAATTAATTTTTTAATTAAAAACTACTTATAAATAATTTATAAATAACTTTTTTTTATAAAAAAAAAATGCATTATAATCTGAGAAGTTACCTCCAAAAGGGGCCTAAAACGCTATGCCACCGCCGTCTTACCCCACGGAACTGTTGTTGATGCAACTACTACCCCTAGCACTCCTTCACCGCGACGCTATCAGCCCACCACTAATAAGAAAATTAATGTTCTGCTTTACATATCAAACATGTAGATTATATTCAACACTTAAATTCTAATAAATATTAAAATACTAAATAAATTTTCAAATCATAGAAATTCAACATTTAATCTTTAATTTCTATATTAACACCTTATTTATTAAAATTTTTAATTCTAAAATTTATTTTTAAAGAAAAAATAGAGAGTAGGGTTTAGAGGTTGTTTGATCTTCTGTCACCCAAAGTGAAAACTCCAATTTTCTTGCCCGAGAAAACGCGAGAAACTTTTTTGGTTTCTCCCTACTTGAATGGCCCTTCTGAAGCCTCCTCTAAATTTCTCTCTTCGACTAATGGCCTCACGTTTCGTCATATACTCTTCTATTCACTCCCACACTGTTTTTCTCTCCTCATCCTTCACTCTTTCTCCTCCCTCCCTCCTCCTCAGAACCAGGTACACCCTGATTGGTTTCTGAGAAAAAAACATAGGAAAACGATGAAGAATTCACTTTCAACTATCGTGTTTTAGTGTCTTATCAATTGCTGTGTTTAAAAAATGAAAATAGTAAAACTTCTGGTTGAATATCACTAATATTGCCATATCTAAAATGGAAATACTTTCTAGATTATTTTCCCCTCTTTTCCTTTCTACCCAAACGAAGCTTTGACAAGATCTGTTGTTGTTACAGGACAAGTTTCGGATTGAGAAGGGTTCGAAATGCAGTGTCTTCAAGGGCTTTTATGGCTTCAAGCCTTACCACCGAAGCTTTTCAGGAAAGTACGAGCTCGAAAGCGTATGGGTCTGAACAAATTCAGGTAAATTGATGGGTTACTTAAAGAGTTTTGAACATTACTTTAATGGCTTATTGTTGGATGAAGAAGTTGTGATGAATAAGTTAGTTTAGATAGATGTAAAGGTGGATGATAATCACAGGAGTATTTTCTCAAATTAAGGACTTAATTATTTTATCTATGTTTGAACTTGAGTGAGTAGTGGAAATTTAACACACTTCCCCCTCTTCAACTCAAAGGACTTCACACCAAATCTCGAGACCTTGAGGCAAATCCTCAAGGCTCTGCAACTCAAAGAGTTGGTCAGTTTGAACGTTTTCGAAGTCTTTGAATGCTTTATTAAGAAAGAATTTGCAATGTAGTTGTCATTGAAATTGATATAGTTGTGGAGTATAATAAAGAAAATCCTTCAGAAATCGTGATTATGGTAGAATGGTTTCAGCAAACCAATGAGAAGAAAAGAAAGAAAACTGCATAAATTATAAAACGAATTAATAATTTCATATTGTATTAGTATACAACCATCATACGACCACAATTGTCTTAGTGCCTGTTAGAATTTCCCATCTTTACCTTCACCTACTCCACTACACACTCCACTTCACCTAACCCACTATCACCTCCACTACACCTACTACCACATTTTCTTCTATATATAGATTGTATAGGAATTGTAATTAATCTATCTTGTAACACATCAACATCAATCAATCAATAATACATATATTTTCTTACAGTGCCAACAAAGAGTTGTGTAGCATTCACTGTTCAAATTCTAAAATCAATCTTGAACACTTGTATAAATTGTAACAAATTTGTCTGAAGGTGAGTTGTTGGATATATCTTATGCAAATCTTGAGTAGTCCAAAACAATTAACCTTTGAAAGGCAGCATTGCCAGGTTGTGGCTATGATATGCATTTCTTATAAGTTCAAAATAAGTCATATATTAATCAATCCATAGAGGCAATAAGGGTATTAGAGCTTTGAGTATTATCATTGCTTTTGTTGCTGTTATTAGTGATTTGTAAATTCCCAGCAACTCATGGATGCACTTGTTTTGTCGCAGATAGCTCTTCCGCAATAAATCATGTTTCTTCCCATGAAGAAATTAGTAACTCACATAATACCATGTACTTTTTGTTTATATATATATATATTTTGGGGTTGGAGGGTGATTTTGGTTTCTATAGATTTGTATGTTTGTGTGTATCTTGTGATTTTGTTTGTATGATCTTGTTTGTTTGCTTAGTGCTGGTTTGTGTTTTTTCATAGTGGCTTCCTCATTTAATCAGGTACTGGAAGGTTTAGACCCTGTTAGAAAAAGACCAGGAATGTACATTGGAAGCACTGGACCTCGTGGTTTGCACCATTTGGTATATTCTTTACCTCTTTGCCATTGCTTCATTAATACCTCTCAATGTGCGTAATTCTGTTTGACATAAATAGAAGTTGCCAGATCCACTGACGTTGACTTCGTTTAGGTTTATGAAATACTGGACAATGCTATTGACGAGGCCCAAGCAGGATTTGCTTCAAAGATAGATGTTGTCTTACATGCAGACAATTCAGTGAGCATTACGGACAACGGGCGTGGGGTATGAGTTATCTTCTACTTTTTTTAGCCAATTTGGAGTTCTCTTAGGTGTAAAGAGTTGATGATGGACAAATTATAGTGTTTTCTTCACAGGGGATGCATTAACGTCCTTGACATTGATGCTTTACTATATTCTCACATTATACTCTTTTTTTTTTTTTTTTTGCAGACTGACATCAATCCTTCTGCTAGTCAAGTTTCTCAATTTTGCTCTTTGCACATTGTTGTGCTACCATTTTACTTGACTGTCTTCAATATGCTACCATTTTCCTCAATATGTCTCACAAACCCAGAAAATCTCAAGGAATGCTCACAAAGCTGACAAAACTCAACCATAAAAACAACTGAAATAGTGTCAAAACCAACTCAGATAAACCAACAACTGTAGAAAACTAGAGGAAAAAACTCATTGTATTCACAACACCCTAGCTGGACCTCCTTGGATCCTGAAAAACAAGGTTGGGTAACGTTCCCAACAGTGTGGTCAACAACCAGAGAAGAGTCTTCACAAGCATTCATTTGATCAAAGCCAAGGTTGATTGAAGATCTTAGAAAAATAGGCCATATTTTTTCGAACATCAAAGAAATAGAAAAAATATATCAAATGAACTTAGAAAATTTTGAAAAATTTATCGGTGAACACTACTCTTCAAGTCAATCATGTTGCTGTATTTATTTATTTATTATTAATATATATATATTTACATATCAATCGTAAATGAAGAATACCATATCCTTTCAGTCCACAATACGAGAATATAAGAGAATGACACTATGATACCAAGTTCAATGTACACTAACAAGAAGAAAAGAGCCCATATGCGGTTAATGAGCTCTCTGCCCCCATGCATCTGATCAGCTTGTGTGGTTCATTGGTTTCATTGAATAGAGAGAGACCAAAAATTTAGGGTTCTCTCCCTTGGGATACATGTATTTGTATTAGATAGAGTTGGCCCAAGTACATAAATACCCTTCAAACAATTAAGCAAAACACAAAACTATAACAGATAATTACCATAGATGTCTTATAGGGGTGGTTGCTACCTTTTCTATATATATTTTTTGTTTTTTTACTTTTATGGTATTTTTGATTTCACCATGTTTATAGTTGATATTTATTATGATTTTGAAATGAACTGGTTATGTGATTTCTATTTACTTACTAAAATGGGTTATCTCAAAATACTACTTTGCAATTACTTTATGTTGTTAGATTGTGCTTGGAGTAATTTCTTTGAAGCTGACATTCATGTGCTATTGCAACTTTTCACTTACTTCCATGTTTCACTTGTGCATTGCAGATTCCAATCGACTTGCATCCAGTGACAAAAAAATCTTCTTTGGAGACTGTCTTGACGGTATTGTTGCATAAATTACCAATTCCATTTTAACGTTGTAAGTAGACTGCACGGTTATGGGATCAAGATGGAATTTCACCTGGAATAGTTCTCAAGGGGCCACTTTGAATCTTTTTACTATATGTTTGCATAAAATTTTGTGCATGTTATATTGTTTCCTAAAGAGCACACAATTTGTGAAGCAAAACAACCATCTAGTTGCTATTACTTTTGAGGTCATTTAGATATACAGTTGTTCTGTCCTAAGTTCCTAACCTAAAATAGTATTATTAGTTGGCACTGTAAAAACAGTGTGTTTTAATTAATAGAGCAGCTGTTCAATTCCTTACTGGCATGCGGTTGTAGGAAATCCTTAAAATAAGATGCAATGCTGTGTGGCACATCAATCTTCACGTACGTGTTATGTATAAGAAAAGATTGCAGATATATGGGCTTTTATGTATGTATGTATGTATGTTACAATATACATACATGTATCTGGTAGCTGCATTTGAAATGTGACAAATTGTTTTTTGACTTGGCTGATGGTGGCAATAATGTATGACGATTAAATTGTGCAGGTTTTACATGCTGGTGGGAAATTTGGTGGTTCAAGTAGTGGTTACAGTGTCTCAGGGGGACTACATGGTGTAGGCTTATCTGTTGTTAATGCATTATCTGAGGTGCTACTTTCTTTTCTTATAACTTTATTTGGCCATTCCCTTCAAGCTGGTTGAGATATGTAGATATATTCATGGTTTTCTCTTTCGTTTTAATGTTGTTGGTTTCGGTGGGCCTTTGAGTTCCTTTTGGCAGTGGAGTAGGCTTTAGGTTACTATAATTTTGATGATATTATATATATATATATTTTGGTGTCAATTAACTTGGGGTCTCCACTTATGGATCCCTGCACTAGGGTGGAAACATTTAAAATGATGGCCTTCATTTCAAGTTTCAAGTAATGATGAAATGAGCTTTATACATCTATGCTGAGAAAGGGTTACCCTTTGTCACCCTTACTGTTTACCTTAGTGGTTGATGTTATAGGCAGATTGATGGGTAGGGCTAAAGAGGTTGTTTTAGTGGATTGTTTTGTGATTAGGAGGGATGGTGTATCTGTGTTTCATTTGCAGTTGTAGATGATTCCATTTTTCAGGCCTAGCTAATGCTTGAAATTCAACTCAGAATGACCCTTAGTCTTACTTCCCTGTTCTGTGACTTTCAGTTTGCTGGTTCCCGGGTCATAGAAATATTGAGACTCCTTTATTCTGGTGTCATTCACATTACTTGTTTACAAAATGAATGATATCTCTTTTAGGCTTGCACAATAATCCCCAAATTCCTTGGACCACAGGTTATGCTCCAACTCACTCTTCATAATAGCGTAACTACTCTGGCCCAGGGTGGGCTGTGTTAATTGTCTCCCTGGCCATCACATCAACACTAAGTGCTATATTCTACATTTTGCTTGCTGGTGCGCACTCAGTTCTTTCATATTTTTTTTTCTCTCTTTTTTGTTGTTTATATATACATTTTACAGTTTGTGGGCACCAATCGACTTAGGATCGAATCATTTGTTTCTGACATGTATTGGTTTGCAGGCATTAGAAGTTACTGTTTGGCGTGATGGAATGGAATACCAGCAGAAATATTCCCGTGGAAAGCCTGTTTCAACTTTAATGTGTCATGAGCTTCCTGATGAATCAAAAGACCGCCAAGGGACACACATTAAGTTTTGGCCTGACAAAACAAGTTAGTCTCGACTCTCAAAACCCGGCATGCTTTTGATGATTCTATTGATTCAATTTGTAGCAATAATTGCATTTAGGGGTTTTCACAGTCTTTGTCTAACTATGAACTTTTCTGCAGTATTCACTACTGCAATTCAGTTTGATTACAGCACTATAGCTGGACGGATTAGGGAGCTGGCTTTTTTAAACCCTAAGGTACAGTCATTACCATCTGCTTATTGTTCTGTGACATCTTTAAACCTTCTGAGTTGTTATTCTAATTTTTTTTCTTAAACTTCTCATTTATTTTTCAAATGTAGATTTTTTTTTAAAATTTTTTTAATCTGGTAACTTGCTGCATCTTTTCCAAATATTGGTCAAATCTGATTTCTGTTTGCAGCTTCCTTTGCTGCATATTCGTTTTGTGAATGAATATTGTATTTGCAGTATACCTGTTTCCATATGATGATGCTAGAAGATTGTATGTGTCAAACTATGGAATGTTATCTAGCATGTTGTGGGATTATTAAGGCTCAATGGCTAGTCATTCAACACTGATTTCCTGTTGGTCCTTCAGTTTCCTGCTGACTGCCCTAAAATTTCAGATCTTTCAGAAATGGATCCTTTGCTATCTAGTATTAATATTTTAATGGTTAATTATTAATTTCATTTTCTTGATGTGCCATCAGTCTTTGTGACTTCTGTTTCGTTTTATTTTACTATACACTGCCCTTGTCTCACTGTTTGCAGATTATTATTGCTCTTAAGAAAGAGGATACAGATCCACAGAAGAACCAGTATAGTGAATACTACTATGCTGGGGGATTGGTTGAGTATGTGAAGTGGCTAAATACCGACAAAGTGAGCTAACTTTTGTGTATATGTTTTTCCAATACTACTTCTTTGCTATGCTCGTGGAGTCCTAATTTTTTAGTATTCCATTTCCCTATTCTTCCATCAAGTTTACACCATTTTGTATCCAAACTGAAGTACCAAAGGACGACTAATTATGTGGTTACTTGCACTTCATTATTGTCATAGTGTGATATTAAATCGTCAAAAATTAATTGTCTTACCATTTATGTAGGGTTATTATTCCCAACTTATTTGAAAAGAGAATGTATAACCTTCTCCCAGTTTTAGATGAACTAAATTTCTAATAGTGAAAGTCAAATAAAAACTGAAAATTAGAATAGGTGATAAATCTAATGACTATTATGACTTGAACGCATCAACTGGATAAATTTTTATTTGCAGCCTTGATAATCCACCTTTTGTACCTGAAAGCTCTGTTATCAGAATCTTACGATTCGCGATTCGATTCACGATTCGATTCACAATTTTTGCAAAATCGATACGAATCTATAGGTGAATCTCTCTTTTATCAAAATCTTACGATTCGCGATTCGATTCACGATTCGATTCAAATTTTTTACAAAATCGATACGAATCTATGGGTGAATCTATTTTGGAAGTAAATCTCTAGTGAATCGCACGATTCACAATCGATTTACGATTCAATTCACTTTTTATGATTCATGTAATTTTTTAAATTATTGTGTCCGGCATACTTTCGACTATTTTTTTCTCCATGTTTTTAGTGAAATTGACATAATACAATTTTTAATAGCGTTTAATACTAAAATAACCAACATATATACATAATTTGTTGTTATTTTAGTGATTATGAAGTTTTTAATAGAATCCAATCTGATTCAGTCAAACCCAGCATATTTTTAACCTTTCTTCTCATTTCTTTTTCCCTTTAAAAATTCATAATATATCTTCTAAAGATGTTTAAGATTAAAGTTACGATATGAATTATCTATTACTATTTTATTAAATTGAATATAATTGAATATTACATATGTGAGGTCTGTTATACCTTTGAAAATATTTTAGGCTTTAAAATAAAATATTCTAAACAATTCTTTCTTATTATTTGCTCATTGTTACTTAGAAAAGTACGTATGCTTATTATCCAAATATCAATATCGTTATTAATTATTGTTATTTTGAAAATTGATAACTTGTCTATTTGGTTATTATCTTTATTAAGAATGGTTGATAAGAAATATCTAAAAAGAAAAAAAGTAAGATAGCGATCTTACATAAGAATCTTTGTTAACTTCTTACCTATTAAATTACATGATTATCACACAAAATAACATTTTCATTGATTTAAGTCTAAATATTTCATATTTATAAGATATATTTAACATCTAAATGTGTAAATATATATTTTTAAGTAATTTTAAAAAAGTGACCGAATCTTTACGATTCACGATCCGATTCGATTCGCGATTCGGTACAAGGTCATTTCGATTCACGATACGAATCTCGATTTAACAACTATGCCTGAAAGTCTTGTCATTCCCCGAACGCTGATTACACCACTGCTAATAATCATGTAACATTTTGATGCTTATTTATCTCTTGATATGTGAAAGCTGGCTGGGATTATTTGGTAAAAGGATTTTTACCATCTTTCAGTTAACTGATAATTGTCATGCGCATCAACCCTTGGTTTGACATTTGCATTATGCTTGAGTCTTGACTGTAAAGTGACTGATAGTTCTTTGATCCAGAAACCACTTCATGATATTGTGGGTTTTAGAAAAGAAGCAGATGGAATCAGAATTGATGTGGCTCTTCAGTGGTGAGCAATTATTTCTTTCTTTCTTCTTGTTGCATTTTTTCTCTTTCATGAATCTCTTGACAATTTCTTCTTTCAAATTTATTTATTTTGGTTAGTCCACGAGAAAATACAGAGACCACTTCAATAGATTCAGTCCATGTGTCACTCGTTCACTATCTTGTTACATGCTTCTTGATGCATTTGCATGAGCTAGGATTTCTTACAAGCTGGGAGAGAACAGTATATGGTTTTCTCAAATGCCAAAAGCGTTTGATTTCTTGCTTCAAACTTTGGTCTGATAAACCAGTGTTATGTGCAAAGCTGCCAATTGTGTAGCCTACAGCTAATTTAGTTCTCTTCTCAATCTTTGTTGTAGGTGCTCTGATGCATATTCAGATACAATGCTGGGATATGCTAATAGCATTCGTACAATTGATGGCGGTACTCACATAGATGGTATGAAGGCGTCATTAACAAGAACTCTCAACAACCTCGGGAAGAAATCAAAAATTTTCAAGGTGCGTTGGTTCTGGCCTATTATTTTGGCTTTTTGTTGTTGTCAACGAATATCTTTGGTTCTGGCCTATTTATTTTGAATATTAAAATCTTGTTTGATCCAATCCAGGAGAAGGATATTAGTTTAAGTGGTGAGCACGTGAGGGAGGGATTAACATGTGTAATCTCTGTCAAAGTTGCAGATCCAGAGTTTGAAGGTCAAACAAAGGTATTACCGATTTCGTCTTTACATTTGTGGTCACTGATGCTTTCAGTCATAAATAATGCTTTCAACAACATGAAGTTTATGATCATCAATGCACATTTTGAAGTTTGAGATCACCAATTTCCATTTTCGTTTGTTTGGAATATCTTATATTACTGCTTATTCTGTCTATCCTTGAAAGACAAGGTTGGGAAATCCAGAGGTGCGGAAAGTGGTTGATCAATCTGTTCAAGAGTATCTCACTGAATACTTGGAGTTGCATCCAGATGTACTCGATTCAATCCTTTCCAAGTCCCTTAATGCTCTAAAGGTACCATAATTAAAATGCGTGAATCATGACTGTCTAAAGGTATCATAATTAAAATGCGTGAATCATGACTGTCTAAAGGTACCATAATTAAAATGCGTGAATCATGACTGTCACAATTAAATTATATGATTGATTGAGCTGCTCTTCCCTAAGAATATATTATTCACAATCCTTTGGGTGCATTTTCTGTCCCTTCTAGCTGATCATTGCCGTCATATCTAAAATTTGATTATTTCTCTCACTAGTCACATGCATGTTCTTCCATGTTTAGGCAGCTCTGGCAGCGAAGAGGGCAAGAGAATTGGTGAGACAAAAGAGTGTTTTAAGATCCTCATCTCTTCCTGGAAAGCTAGCCGATTGCTCAGCCACAAATCCTGAAGATTCTGGTATCCTCTGTTTATTCTTTCATTGAAGTTAAAAAAGGGTAGAGTTTTATAACAAATGTCAATTGGATTTCTGTTGCAACGATGTTTTTAATGATATTTCTATTATCAATTGGAGTTCTGTTGCAGGGATGTTTTTAAGGATATGTTAGAATTTCCCATCTTTACCTTCACCTACTCCACTACACACTCCACTTCACCTACCTCCACTTCACCACACACTCCACTTCACCTAACCCACTATCACCTCCAATACACCTACTACCACATTTTCTTCTATATATAGATTGTATAGGAATTGTAATCTATGAATCAATAATCAATCAATAATACATTGATTTTTTAACTTGGTATCAGAGCAAGGTTAACAACTTAGTGATTCCGCTTCACCGGCGGGCGGCAGCCTCGCCTTGGCCGTCCGCCGGACAAACCCAAATTTTCTAATTCTTTCTCTCCCCTCTCTCCTCACTTTCTCTCTATAAGTGTGATGTGAGAGAAACTTTACCGGCGAGATTTGGCCGGAGAATGACATATATGTGTGCAAACAGTGGAAATCTAATAGCAATTGCTCAACAAGTGATCAAGCAAAAGCAACAGCAAGAGCAAGAGCAACACCACCATCAACAGCAACAACAACTCGTCGGTGTACCCCTTTTTTTGTCTCAACCCATGGACCACCACCAACCAGACCCTCTCCACCAGCCCACCATGGGTTATGCCTTCGCCGACCCTTTTCCGGTGGCCGCGCCGGACCACGGCGACGAACCCGGGTTTCAGTTTCCCAATTTGGAACACCACCCCGCCGCCTTCAGATTCGCCGATTTTGGTGGTGGGTCTGGCGGTGAGTTCGACTCGGACGAGTGGATGGAGAGTTTGATTGGTGCTGGAGATTCAACGGATAGTTCAAACCCTTGGCAGAGCACCGCTGCTGATTTTAGTATCTACGCTTCTGATCCGTTTGTTGCTTGCCCGAGTCGACTCAGTGTAGCTTCGTCTCCACCGTCTGATCTCAATCGAGTAATGTTCTCCAATACCCAGAAAAATGCCAGTCTTCTTCAACCTCAGAGCTCTCTTCCATGGGTTCCATCGTCTCCGGTTCCACAATCGGAGACCAATCCTTTGCCGAAGAACAACGATGCCGTCGCCGGAGCTTCCAAAGCGCCAGAACACGATTCGTCAAAACCGCTTCTGAAAGCTCTGCTTGATTGTTCTCGATTTGCAGAGTCTGACCCAGAAAAGGCTGTGAAATCGCTGAATCGAGTTCGAGAATCGGTGAGCGAACATGGAGATCCAATTGAGAGAGTGGGTTTTTACTTCACTGAAGCTCTCTTCTCCAGAGTCTCACACCAAGCCGAGAAGACCCCGACGATCTTCGAAACCACTTCAGAAGAGTACACTCTCTCATACAAAGCTCTCAACGACGCTTGTCCTTATTCCAAATTTGCCCATTTGACAGCGAACCAAGCACTTCTCGAAGCAACCGAGAGAGCGAAGAAGATCCACATAGTCGATTTCGGAGTCGTTCAAGGTGTTCAATGGTCTGCCTTTCTTCAAGCTCTAGCAACTCGAACCGCCGGAAAACCCGACATGGTTCGGATCTCCGGCATTCCAGCTCCGGCCCTGGGGAAATCTCCCGCGGCGGCGCTTCACGCCACCGGGAACCGGCTTCGCGATTTCGCGAAGCTTCTGGGTCTGAACTTCGAGTTCGAACCGGTTCTGACCCCAATCCAGGACCTCGACGGTTCAAGTTTCCGGGTCGAACCGGACGAGGTTTTGGCCGTGAACTTCATGCTTCAGCTCTACAACCTCCTCGACGAGACCGACGATGTAGTCGAGACCGCTCTCAGATTGGCAAAGTCTCTGAACCCAAGCATCGTCACTTTGGGCGAGTACGAAGCGAGTTTGAACCGGGCTGGTTTTCTTCCCCGGTTCAAGAACGCACTGGTGTACTACTCCGCCATTTTCGAGTCGCTCGAACCCAACTTGTCCCGAGACTCGCCGGAGAGGCTCCAAGTCGAGAGACTACTATTCGGCCGGCGAATCGCCGGCGTAATCGGACCGGACGAACCGGGAACAAGAAGAGAACGTATGGAAGATAAGGAACAATGGAGGATTCTGATGGATAGTGCTGGTTTCGAGTCGGTAGCCCTTAGCCGTTACGCGAGGAGTCAAGCTGAGATTCTTCTATGGAAGTACGATTACAGTACTCTGTTTTCATTGATTCAATCTGAACCTGGTTTTCTCTCTCTAGCTTGGAACAAAGTCCCTCTTCTCACTGTTTCTTCATGGCTTTGATTTGGGTTTTGATCGAAAATTTTTTTTTTTTTTTTGGGTCTTTTTTTTTTTTTTTTTTTTGTTGGAGGAGCTTCTCTTTTTTCTTTTTCTTTTTTTTTGGGCTTTCTTTTGTTTGTGTTTTTTGTGGTTAAAGGAGTGCTTGGTGTTTGTTGCATAGGTGTGGCTTGTGGTGTAGTTCTTGGGCGTTTTCTTATAGATAGTGCAGTTGTTTTGTGGGTTTTTTTTGTTGTTTTGGGTAGTGGTGGTGGTTGGGTTTTTTTGTTGAGAGGGAGATGTTGGTGGATTTTCGGTGGATATAGGTGAAGGAGTGTCAAAAGGAAATATATTTAAATCCCTGATTGGATTTTTGGGCATACGAGTTTGCTGATTCTTTTTCCAATATCTTCTAACACTACTACCACATTTTCTTCTATATATAGATTGTATAGGAATTGTAATCTATGAATCAATAATCAATCAATAATACATTGATTTTTTAACTGGATATATAACAAATGTCAATCCAAGTGGTTTTTTAATCATTTATCTAGTGTTTTTTAGGTAAATTTATTGTTAGTTTCTGGGGTTGAACTGCATAAGTTTATTATATGATACCGATTCCTCTGTATTCTTTTCAATGTTGAGAAAAGTGTAGAAATATGGTTATGAATTATTCCTTTGCTCCGAGTAGCATGACTCTTCTCAACTGTATGCTATTTAGGATTGCTAATTGCTAATAATATCTAGTTAGTATTTGGTACTCAGGTTGAAGAGAGGTAAGAGATGTCCTAGTTAGTATTACAAACATGTCCGGGGGTGTCCCCAACATGTCCAAAGAAAAATATTAAAAATTAAACATGCCATGTGGCGTGTCCACATGTGTCCCAATGTGTCATGTGTCCCTGCGTGTCCAAGGAGTGTCTATGTCCTACAAGTGTCAGACACGGATACTGCAACTTAAATGAAGTGTCCGTACTGGTACTTCATAGATGTCTTTGGATCTATTAACTTCATAACTTGTGGAAAGGTGTTGTCTTAGGTTTGGTTTGGAGAAGTTTTTTGTAATAACTTGACCAACCAATTTCAAGTTCATTTTTATTTTGCAGAAATATTTATTGTTGAAGGAGATTCAGCCGGTGGCAGTGCAAAACAAGGGCGTGATAGGCGCTTCCAGGTGAAATTTTGACTTTTTCTTTTTTGTAGCTCTTAGCGCAAGAAATGGTTGAAGCTTCTTTTGGATAATTTTGTTGTAAAGTTTGCTTTGCTAAATTGTGTATCTTGTACTCATTTATATTTGCTCTCATGGACAAAATTTTTCAGTCAACTTTCCATTAATTAATTATGGTGCGGCTTAGGCAGCACTTCTGGAAATATTTTTTTCCTCCCCAGTGCCACAAGAAATAGTAATAATAATTACGATAATGGTAATATTAATAGAATACAAAAGAATCTAAAAGAAACAGGAAAAATCAATAAAGAATTGTATGCTGTGTGTGCGCGCGCGCATGGTATTAGTGGAGTCTTGTCCCGTGCTTGGTTACCTTGCTTGAGGTGGATATTTTATTTTTGTTTGTAATTTGTGACCTATGTGTATCACTTATTGGCTTATTTATTTATTTTATATAAGATAGAATTAAAAGTTAAAACACATACAATACATGAGATATGGTTAGCCATGAAATTTTTTGCTCTCTCTCTCTCTCTCTATATATATATATATATATCTGTCTCTCTTTTGTGTGCCATATTAATTATGTAGAATATGTGCCAATGATTGATAATGTTTTGTGTTATGGAATATGTTTCATGCTTCTTGTAAACTTGAAGTTTTGAATGAAAAAAATCATAATTTAAGTGAGGGAACTTTAGTTTAACTTGTGCAGGACATGTCCTTTGTACTTATTTCTCAATCATCATAGCTTATAAATGCATTATTCTTCAGGAAATCTATGACAGTCCTATTTTATATAAGATAGAATTAAAAGTTAAAACACATACAATACATGAGATATGGTTAGCCATGAAATTTTTTGCTCTCTCTCTCTCTCTATATATATATATATATATATCTCTGTCTCTCTTTTGTGTGCCATATTAATTATGTGGAATATGTGCCAATGATTGATAATGTTTTGTGTTATGGAATATGTTTCATGCTTCTTGTAAACTTGAAGTTTTGAATGAAAAAAATCATAATTTAAGTGAGGGAACTTTTGTTTAACTTGTGCAGGACATGTCCTTTGTACTTATTTCTCAATCATCATAGCTTATAAATGCATTATTCTTCAGGAAATCTATGACAGTCCTGACTACTAAAACATACCTATTTGTGGCCTGATGCAGGCTGTTCTTCCCTTGAGGGGTAAAATTTTGAACATTGAAAGAAAGGATGAAGCAGCAATGTATAAGAATGAAGAGATTCAAAATCTTATTCTTGGTCTGGGACTTGGAGTAAAGGTTATTTAATTATAATCTTCCAAATCTTAGTTCCTTTCGTTTCAGATGCTTCACCTATTTTGTTGACTGAATTTTACTGGTTTTAGGGAGAGGATTTTAAAAAGGAAGCTCTCCGCTATCATAAAATTATAATCTTGACAGATGCTGATGTGGATGGTGCTCACATCCGCACTTTACTATTGACATTTTTCTATAGATATCAGGTAGATAGTTGAGATAATCATCTATTAAATTTTGTTGGTCTGAAAAAGAGAAGAAAGAATAAATTTTTTCTTGAAATGCCTAAAAAATTCAAAAGCAGTTTGGTTTATTTAGTTTTTGTTCCTTGCAGAGAGCTTTGTTTGATGAAGGTTGCATTTATGTTGGCGTGCCACCCTTATACAAGGTGTGCTTTTGAATTTGATGGGTCCAATTGAAAAAATGTTCTAGTAACTACACAAAAGTTTGTTCTCTCTTGTCAAAATGATCAGGTTGAGAGGGGAAAGCAAACATATTATTGCTATGATGATGCGGAACTAAAACAGTTACAGAGGTCCTTCCCTTCAAATGCATCTTACAACATTCAGAGGTTCAAAGGTATGACCAATAAAAAAAATTTGATATTTTTGGTGCCTGAGGGCTTTGCAAATCCTTTCTATTCTGATCCCTTTCTTAGCGAATGATTTTTTTTTTTAATGAATGTGACATTCACCGCAATTGAATGGAACACAGGTTTGGGGGAGATGATGCCTTTACAATTATGGGAAACAACATTGGATCCAGAGAAAAGACTGCTAAAGCAATTAATGGTAGAGGATGCAGCAGAAGCAAATGTTGTTTTCTCCTCTCTTATGGGTTCCCGGGTATGCAAATCATGCATGTAGCTTATGTTGCGGTTCTTGCATATAATACTCATGACAATTATATATATCCACATTTATTGAGACAGAGACACTTGGGTCTTTTGTTAGTGGGAAATTGTATGACAACTTTTCTCGCCATATAATATAGTTTGCAGGCTAAGAAACATGGACACGGACACAACAATAGATATGCCGACACGATTTCTTTTTTTGTAAAATATAGGACACGACAGATGCAAAATATGTCATATAGGGATAAATAATTATTATATGTCATATATATATATACATATAACCCCGAGGGGTTGGCCTGGTGGTAAGGACTTGAGTCTTGGGGGTGTGCTCTCTCGAAGGTTTAGGGATCGAAACCTCTTAAGTGCTAACAATTCTTTGGGGCCATCGGACTGGGAAAAACCTTTGAATTAACTGTGGTGCACTTGCGAAAAATTCCTTGCCGAGGGTCTATGCATCTCTAGGGATTAGCCGGGTTTTGATCCGGAGATCCCAGTGCCAATAAAGAAAGAAAAGAGTCGTATATAAATATTTAAGTAAAATATAATAAATTTTAAAGTTTAAAGGAGCAGAATAATTATAAATTTACATTGTTTTTATTTTATTATTTAGATTTCAAGTTATTTTATTCAAATTTGTAATATGTTTTATGTGTGTCTTAGTGTTGAGAAGTGTCTGACGAGTGTTGTGTCGTATTGGTATTGGACACAAAATGTTACCTTGTCCGTGCTTCTTAGATTGTAGATGATTAGGCTTCTCAATTGCCTTGAGAAATCTATCTTGTTGCTAGCTACAATTCCCTTTGTTGTCATTCACATTACTGGTGGTGTTTCTAGTCCCACTTATATGGAAAGCTAAAAAACAATCATATAATAATCCAGAAATCGCAATAGAAAAGAAAAAAGGGTGGTTTGTGGTGGTTTTTAAATCTTTCTGACTACATAATCTAGTATCCTTGTTCATGAAGATAATCAATTCCTCTTATGCTTGCTGTTTTAGGTGGATTATAGGAAGGAACTTATACAGAGCTCTGCAAGCATGATCAACCTTGACCAGCTGGATATATGAAGGGTATCATCAAATATAGAATTGAGAACATCCTTTGTGCTATATATTGTACTAAATGGCAACTAAATGTAATTTATTTATTTTTTAAATTTGAATTTGTGAAGCAAAAGCTTTTTTTTTGCATGTTGTCTATTTTCTTCCTAGTTTGGTGTCATTTGCAAAGGCATCCAATATCTCTGATCATGGCTGTAGCTCTTGAAATCTTTGGTTGGTTGTGGAGGTTGATGGGTTCATGGGTATTTGTTTTAATATTTTTATCATCATCATCATCATCTAAGTTGTATTTGATTTCTTTCAAGTGTCGTGTAAATTAAAATTTAAGGAAGTTCAATGTATTTATGCCAAACCCTTGTAATATTTCCTCTTAATTTTAATGGAGGTTAGTGTAATTCATCATAAATTTTTAATTTGAGATTCATATTTTTCATCTTTTTAGATGCGAAATTACTAATTTAATTTTATACTTTTTTTTTAAAAATTTTTCATTTTTACTAAAAATAAATATAAGTATGTTAAATGTTTTCTATATATATATTAAAAAAAAAAAATTGTAAAACGAAGTCAGCGATTTAGATTTCAGCCCTAATTTTTGCATTTTGACTTTGGGATTAGCAGCGAAGTGCTTGAGGTTGAAGTTGGTTTCTTTGGTAGAGATAGAGAGGAAGAAGAAGAAAAAATAAATATAAGTATGTTAAATGTTTTCTATATATATATTAAAAAAAAAAATTGTAAAACGAAGTCAGCGATTTAGATTTCAGCCCTAATTTTTGCATTTTGACTTTGGGATTAGCAGCGAAGTGCTTGAGGTTGAAGTTGGTTTCTTTGGTAGAGATAGAGAGGAAGAAGAAGAAAATCACAAGAAGTCCTAAATTCCAAATCGGTTAGTTTAGTTTCGTCCCTCTGCTTCATTCAAAATCTGGGTATTCTGCATAAACTTTTAATCTAATTTGTTTTTCAATGTTTGTTTCGTTTTCTGTAGAAATTATTGAGTGATAATGTGATAGCTAAAGTAAATGTTTTGTTTTGTGTGTGTGTGTGTGTGTGTGTGGGGATGTTTTCTTATTATATTATCATATTTGGATGTTCAAATTAAAACCAAATATTAAATAAATAAATAAAAACTAAGAATGTTCAAATGTATTAAAATATTTAAATACAATACAAATGTTCAAACAAAACTGTAAAGTAAACATCAAACACAAAATAAATGTCCCAAATCCAGCCACATGTCAGTCCATCATCTATCTGTGACCAAAAAAAATAAAAATAGAAAGTCAAGAACAGTTTATCAAACATATATTTGTTATCTATTGTCTGTCCATTAGTAATTTTGTAGCTAAACAAGAGAAAAGTAAGTGATGTTTTGGTTTATTTTTTATTTGATATTATAGTTTTAATTTTTTTTGTACATTTTTGTTTCTGTTATTGTAAATTGGATTTTAAACTATTAACCAATAAGGCCATATTTTTATCTTTTTGAGTTCTTATAATAATTTCATCTTACCTTATCTTAATCTATAAAATAAAATTTAAAAATAATTATAATGAATATATATGCAAAACAAATTTTGTGTGGGTGCTACTAGATTTATAAAGAAAAAAAAAAAAGAAAAAAAAGTGCATACATACCATTTTACCAATATATTTTTAATATGTATAGATGTCTCATTTTTAGAATTCACCTAGGGTCTAGTAAAAGATAAGGTCAGACAGGCCTTTTTGTTCAATTCTTTGTTTGTCTCTCCACCTACAAAACAGGATTGCATATGATGAAGGGGGTTGGATAACGTCATATACATTGTTGAACTCGTTTCCTAACAATTTAATCTTTGGGGACAATTGGTGACTTAAGAGCCATATCTCATAAATGGTGAGCCCTCCAATGTCTAGGGAACCTAAGGGACTAAAGAAATCATACCCAGCAATGTGCGCACTTTTTAGTACCCAATTTTGAAAGAGACTTGTGTGAACATGTTAACAGAACCTAATGTGTAGATAATACGGGAATAAGTAGAAATGAAATACCATTTAGATTCGAAGCCTTGTGCGCAATCTCGCGGTATTCAAAGCTACAGCCACATAGACCCAATCTATTATGTTCATCAAAAATTGGAAATAAGCATGTCTCCAAGTTCTGTTGAGTATTAAGCTGCCAAAGACTCCGCAGAATCCAAAAGTAAATCCAAGCCCCATGCTGACATAAAATCCTGTGGTTATGAATGTGTCCTCATCTTGATTATCTAGGCCATAAGTGCCATCTGGTCCTTTTGGATTCTGAGGTGCTTCACCTCCTGGGCACACTTTTGTAAGTGGTGCCCCACAAAGTTCAGGATTTCCAACAAATGTTGAATTATCTAAGCTCTGCAGTTGAGTGCTTAATGGGATTCTTCCTGATAAGTTGTTGTCCGATAAGTCCAAGTGACTAAGAAAATTTAAGTTTGAAAGGCTTATAGGAATTCCCCCAGAAAGCTGGTTTCTGGACAAATCAAGAGATTCTAACAATTTCAAGTCGCCAATTTCTGCAGGCATTGGTCCAGTTAGCCTGTTTCTTGAGAAGTTCATGGCAACCAGACCAACAAGACGCGTAATGTTACTGGGAATTTCTCCGGTTAACTTATTGCTTGAAAGATCAATGCTCTTCACAAGTCCTAGAGTATTTTTGTACTCATATTCCCTACCTTTCCATACCAACAATGCACTGAGGACATAATGGGGGCTGTAATAACCTTCTTCACCATCAAGGATGGTATAAGGTTGATCATAAATAACATAAATGGTTGGATCAAATCTCTGAGTCTGAGTCATTGCCAAAAAGTTGTCAAGGCACATTGGTATGGTCCCTGAAATATTATTTATGGACAGATCCAAGATTTGAATGTTGTTTGACTGACAAAAATTAGTAGGTATGCTTCCATGGAACTCATTTGATCGCAGACTGAAAACAACCAACATAGATAGACTTTCCCCTATCCAAGTTGGTATTGCACCAGATATTCTGTTATCTCCCAAATCAATAATTATTAAGTTTATGCAGTTTCTCAAAGGCAAAGGCAATTCCCCAGTGAAACTATTGTTACGTAACTGCAGTACCTTAAGCTTCGATATGGAGCCCAGAGACCTAGGAATTTTCCCAGTTAAGTTGTTGTTGGCCAAGTTTAGAACATCCAAATATGTGAATTGCATCCAACAATCAGGGAGTTCTCCGCCTATTATGTTGTCAGAAAGGTCAAGACGGGTCAATTGCTCAAATTTAATTGTGCATAAGAAAGAAACTGACCCTGAAAACTTGTTTTTTGAGAGATTCAGTGATGTTGCAGTACGGGGGAGGAACGGTATTGGACCCGCAAAGTGATTAGAACTCAAGTCTATTGCAGGAAATGCTGGAAACTTCAATGACAAATCGGGCATGATGCCATTGATCTGGTTATAAGAGATATTTAACAAACGCATTCTTGGAGACAGGTCCCAGAACCAACTGGGGATAGTAGCTGAAATTCCAGCAGCAGAGATGTCAAGCACAGAAAAGTTTTTTTGAGTTTGAAGCCATTTTGGAAGATGAGGGCCCAACTTGCAAGATCTCAGCCTTATGGTATCTAGATGAAAAGGTGGAATCCACCCTGAGTTGAACTTTAAAACCAAAGAATTAAGAGACAAGTCTAAGAACTGCAATCGGGAGAGATTCGACAGATGGGCTACAAAGACGAGACCTTCTAGATGGTTTGAATTAACATCCAAAACTTCGAGCTTGGGAAGCTGCCCGATACTTCTAGATAAGTCCCTTTGAATTGATTTTTCCAGAGATATAACTCTCTCAATGATGAACATAAGGTAAGATCAGGCAATGACCCCGTAATCTGGTTTTGGGACAAATCTAGAACAATAAGATTACATAATGGTTGTCCAAAAGTTTCTGGAAAAGACCCATCCAATAGATTGCGATCAAGATGTAAATCTGTCAGCCTTGGAAAACTTATGTTGTTAGGCAACGAGCCTCTAAGTTGATTCCTACTTAATTGTAGAAACTCTAATGATGAGTTTTCCATGCTCCCAAACAAGACTTGAATAATGGTAGAAAGGCTATCGTTTAGTTTGTTGAAATATAGAATCTGCTTAAATTACTAAAAGATTTCGGAATTCCACCTTCAAGCTGATTGGAAGAGAGATCAAGGTGTGCAAGGGAAATCATGTTCCCAAAAGCATAGGGAATCACACCTTGTAAGCGGTTATTAGAGAGATCAACCTCAATGAGGGCACTGCTAAAGTTGAACAACCAATTGAAACTAGAAGAAGTGAGACCATTTCCAGAGAGATCAAGGATAACAAGAGAGGTAGAAAAGTTGAGGTATGAAGGCACAACAATCTTAGGAAGCTGACAGAAACCTAAGCGCAAGCTCTAGTCAGCAAAGGGAGCTTATTAAATGATTGAAACCACTCCTTGGCATTGCTAAGGTCCACATTTTGCAGGTTAAGGTGTCTTAAAGACGAAAGATGAGAAAGCCACTCAAGGGTTTGGACATTCATACCACCATAAGGACTAAGGTCAAGAGACCGCAACTTGGAAAGGTTCCCAAGTTGAGAGGGGACTGTTCCACCAAATCCAGCATAAGATAGGTTGATGTGACGTAAATTGCTGAGAGAACCAATGAACTCGGGTATGTGACTGCCTTCGAAATTATTGTTACTAAGGTCCAAATAATTCAAATGCTGCATTTCAACTAGGGAAGGGCTAATGTTACCTCTCAAAGGAATGGCAATAGGCAAACTGCCAAGACCAAGCATGGTTATGTGACCTGTTCGGTTGCTGCAATGGACTCCTCTCCATCTGCAACAATCTGTTTTTTCTTTTTCGCTCCCCCAAGAAGAGAGACGGCCATAATCAGCCACAAGGCCTTGTTTAAGGATGAGTAGTGTTTGTCTCTCCTTCTCTATGCACCAAATTTTAGCATCTTAACTCCTGAACTGGATGGAGGAGCGGAATTCACAAATAGTAAAAAGACTACAACAAAGACATCAACAAATTGTTGGGAGTTTCTTTCCTTAATTGTCATCATGAACATGTTGATCTGATAAAGATGAAGAAAATTCAAAACGAAACCCATAAGGGTTTTAAAGTGTTTTATGTATTTGAATTCTGTGTGTACATTTTAATAATCTTTGCTTGATATGCTGTCAAAGACTATTGTCGACCGAAGATTTCTCTCAACTTTGATTTTGTGGCTGCCTGATGTATAATTGGAACATTGATTTCAAGATCAAATCAGGCCAGCAACAAAAATGTCAAAGGCCTGACCTGACCCACAATTCCGAAAGATCTCCCATCAACTTTAATTGAAGCACCATGAAAGGTGGATTTGTTTTGTTAAAAAAGAAAATGAAACTGGACTTTTGTCTTTGTATTCAAAAGTCAATAATTAAGGTGGCTTGTCAGGACACATAAAACATAAAATAAGTTTTTTTACTTTTACAAAAGACAAAAAAAAAAAAAAAAGGTTTGGTAAACGTTTTGACAAGAAAAATAACGAAACATGGTGAGTTGATGGAGATGGTGGTAGTGGAAAAATTAAAACTAATTTTGGTGAGTGTTATAAAAACAAAAATAAGGAAATATACTTGGTGAGTTGACAGAGGAATTCGCCAGCGGTGGGTGCCAGAGATCAACCAGCGGTGGTTTTCAACCACTATTAAGTGTTCTGAAAATTATCTTGAAAATGAAATGAGTGGACAAAATTTATTCTTGTTTGAACCTGCACAATAAACTTCGTTGTCGGAGTACATAGCCTTTGTTCATTTTGGTGAAAAAAATTTTCCACGATGTCTAGCATTTGGTACAATAGAAAATGAAAGTTTAATGGAAAATATTTTTTGAAGTCAAACAGAAAATGAGCCGATTTTGATGGAAAATATTTTTTACTTTTAAAAGGTAAAAATGTTTTTTGGACCTAACAAGACATTAGAGTCTTATAAATACTACCACCATTTTTACCACCACCACTGCTAACACATAGACGACACCACCACCACCACCACCCTGTTGCCATCACCCTATCAACACCACTCACCATCTTGTCACTACCAACCACACAATGACACCTCCACACCTGTCACTACTGACACATTACCACCACCACCACCACCACCACCACCACCCTACTACCACCAATGCCTCCAAACAAGGATAACTATAGTTGTCCATTTTTTTAAATATTGTTATCTAGTCTTCCATATCTATTAACTATTGATGGTTCTGTTCCTGAGGATTAATTTGTTCATTTATATTATGAATGAAAGGGGGATGATTTCTATTGGACATGAAACTCACCTCAAATCTTAAAACCTGCTATATGTTTTCACTAATTAATATACTATGATGACTTGCGGCATAGAAGAGTTGTTTTTCTTTTATTAATATGTTTCAATTTCAATGCTTTATTCTTAATATAGTACTTATTTACCTGAACCTAATTAGCTTTCTTATTTTATTTATATTGTTGCAGGAAATGAATATGATTTTGACATTTGAGAATATTATTGGTTTCTGTCTTGAATAGTTGTTCCAAAGCTTAATCGAACCATTTCCCATAGGTTTGGTGTAGTTTAATTCCACAATTTCTATAATTTGATTTTATTCCAAATTTGTAGGAACAGTAGGTAGTTTTTGGTCCTTGGTTCCCCTCTAAACCTCACAAAACCAATATGTGCTCACCCCTAGAGTCCGATGATAGATATCATGACAATCATTCAATAGATAAATGATCTTCGTAGGGTTGCACCATTTGATTTTACATTGTCATTCTTTGATTTGATCTAGAGGAAATTTATCATTTTAGAAGTTGCTGCACTTTAATTGCATCAACTCAACAAATATATGGTGAATGAACTTTATCTCATGAGAAGAATGAATATTATTGAAACTTGCATACATCTGTTTATATCAATCAATGTAAAAATTCAAGCAATCTTAGTACAAGTCATTGTGTCACAAATTTAAGATAGCCACATTTAGATATCCTTGCATATCTATACAAATAAAGTAGACATATTATACATTTCCTGACCTTTATAGGAGAGTGAACCAATCACAAAGAACATGCAATAAAAGGTCAGGTATAATGCGTCTACGTAACCTAGGGCCATCATAACACTGACATACCACATATAAGAATCCACATTAAAATATATGCGATCAAGAAAATAGGCTTGCAAAATTTCATTACATATCAACATATACGATTTTGTACTGATCGGTACTTAATGCTAACATTTTCCTTCCAATTCACTCAAATAGTTGCAGATACAATTCAACTATAGCAATATATTAATTTACGGTAAATGCTAACAAGTGTGCCTTGCACATTTTTTGATGTTGGGATTTGCATATACAAGTATTTTGGAAATGGTGAAAAGGTTAAAAAAATATTAAAATCCATGAAAAATGTATGAAATTAGTGAAAGTATCTTGAGTTCTATACTTTTTATTTTTATGGTCATTTTATTTCTAATTTTGAGAATGCATGGAAGAGTGCAAAGATGAGTGCATTTTCACTTAGCTTCCATTGTCATCATCATGTACAAGTCTGGAAAATTAAGTTTTCATTCTTATTTATTATTCATGTTTATCCCAAAAGTATAGCTCCTTTGAGAGAATTCATGATTCATAGTGCAAGCTAGTGTCCTCGAAGCAAAATCTGCGTTGTGTGTTGACTGTTGGCAACAAAAGTTTACTAGGTAGGACCTTTCACCAAAAATCCCAACAAAAATTTTTAGTATCTTGAAGTCGCATTGCAACTTGGCCAGGTTTGGTCGATTTAAAGATGTGTCTCTAGATTTAGTTCGAAATGTAGGGGGGATCTATCTCAACTTACTTGTCCAAATCTAAATCTGAGTATATCTCAAAGAATTCGAGCATAATTTGGTTACCCAAATTCAAACGCACACGCAAAAATGTCTTCAATTGACCTAAACTAATGTATTGCACATTTTGAATATATATATATATATATATTTGTAATTATAAATATGAAAAATTGTTTGAGTAATGTATACTAAGCATTTAGACACTATTCAAATTTAATTCAATTTTGCAAATTTTAGCCTAGATCCTTACTAAATTTTAAATTTTTATTGCACGCTGAAACTCGTGGAAAATAACACTTTGAATATTAATTGAAATATGTCCATAAGAATACTAAAATTTGATTTTAAAAAGTTACACAACAAATTTAATCCAAACAAATTATTTATTTAAAGTTTAGAGTTTCACCTTTGCATGTAGTTGGGATGATTTTGTCTCATATTGTTTTGATTAACACAAAATTTAAAAATCAAAAGTTTAATTTTGATATGTTACTTAGTAAGTTTAATATCAAAAGTTTAGCTCCCCACGTAGCTAATTAATGGTGTAAGTTCGTTGGTCAGAACCTTTGCACTCCAGTAGGAGATCAATGGTTCGAGTTTCTCCACTTATGTGCAAGGAATTGATTGGATTTTATTCAAATAAGATGGCTAAAATTTAAGGGTCCTGCTTGTCAATAAGGAATACAAAATGAGACCATTTCCAGAGAGATCAAGGATAGCAAGAGAGGTAGAAAAGTTGAGGCATGAAGGCACAACAATCTTAGGAAACCGACAAAAACCTATGCTCAAGCTAGTCAGCAAACGGAGCTTATTAACTACTTGAAACCACTCCTTAGCCGCCTTCTCTCATGTTCAGGTATCTTAAGGATGGAAGATTTTTTTTTTTTTTTGATCGGCAAAAAGAAGACTTTATTGATGAAACACATACAAAGTATGATAAATCACATCAATAAGGAGGAGCTTGGAGCTATGTCAAGCTCCAACCTCCTAGTTGGTGAGAGACCAACAAACAGAGCAAAAGCAAAGAAAAACCAGCAAGCAGACCACTGCTGAGATCAAGAAAAACCAGCAAACAGAGCAAAAGACGGGAAAGCCACTCAAGGTTTTTGACATTCATAGAACCACCACCATAAGTACTAAGATCAAGAGACTGCAACTTGGAAAGATTTCCAAGTTGAGAGGGGACTGTTCCACCAAATTTAGCGTATGATAAATTGAGGTGTTGTATATTGCTGAGAGAGCCTATGAATTCTGGTATGCGACTCCCTCCAAAATTGTTGTTACTAAGGTCCAAGTAATTCAAATGTTGCAATTCGACCAAGGAAGAGTTAATGTCACCTCTCAAAGGAATGGCACTAGCTTCAGGAATAGGCAAGCCACCAAGATCTAGCTTGGTTACATGACCCGTCTCGTTGCTATAATAAACTGCGCTCCATCTGCAACAATCTGCCTTTTCTTTATCCACAAGGCCTTGTTTAAGGATGAGTTGTGCTTGTCCCTCCTCCTCTATGCAACAAATTTGAGAGTCTCCAACTCCTGAACTGGATCCAGAACGGAGTTTCAAATAGTAAAAAGACCACAACAAAGCCATGCATGAGTTGATGAAAGTTTCCTCCCATAATTGTCATCAGCATGCCTGATCTGATCAAGTGAAAACCAAACCAAGAAGGGTTTGCAAGTGTTTTATGTTTTCGAATTATGTTTGTACATTTTAATAATCTCTACTCAATTGTCACAGGTCACATGAATGTCAAGACCTAACCCGATACACATTCTAACAAGTACAAGTCTTCCAAAAAAAAAAAAGAGACACCTTGTTCGGTTTTTAATTTTCACAAACAGTTTTATTAGTTTTTAATTCATATTTTTATAATTTTAATAATTCTTTTAATAGTTTAATCAATTTTGTTTTAATTTTTAGATTTAATATTAATATATTTAAAAAGTAAAAATTTTGTGCAAAGATCTTTAAAAAAATTCATTAAATACAACAAAATACAAAAATATATTGAATTTCATA